GTGGACAAAGACCATATTGCCTCTTGATGGTGGCAGAGCTGATGGCACTTCCAATGTCTCGTTAATGCAGAAGTGGCCATCCCTTCTGCTGCAAAGCGCAGCTGGTGTGGCAGATGAAGCTGAGAGTCTTCCTTCTTCCCTTCCTGCCCACCTCCGCCCACCCCCATTTTTCCCTCCCTGTTCTCTGTCCAAACACACTGTCCTGTGTGGGTAGCAGCAACAGTCCACCTCTCCCTCTGCCTCTGGCTGCTTCAGCCATGGGAAGGACAGGAGGAAACCATGGAGAGAAGGCCCCAGGGGTGTCCAACCTGTGGTTCATGGGCAGCTTGCTGATTTTGTGAGGACATTTTTTGCTTATCTGTGGCATTGGATATCATGAAAAGTATGCACAGACCTTTTTTTGTTGATAATCAGTTTTCCTTAGTATTTGTATGTTTAGTATGTAGCCCAAGACAACTCTTCTTCCAATGTTCCACAGAAAAGAAATAGTGTTGGACACCCCTGAAACTCAAGGTGATTTATTCCCACCACTCCCTCTGGCAAAATGACTCACACAGCTCCTGGCTGGTCCCTCTTATCCAGCTCTCTGCTTCTCCATGTCCTGGTAACTGCCCCCATACCTCACTCTGAGAGACTAGGGGAGCCTCCTCTGCCTGGGACAGCACCATCCCTGTCAGGCTAAAGTCATTTCCAGCTGCCCAATGTGGATGGCCCAGTCTCCAGCCAGGCAGGGTAGAGGCTGCCTGATGCTTGGGGTCTTTATTTTAAAGTAAAAGCAGTTGTCCAATTTGTTGGTAGAGTCTTTGATTTAAGAACAGAAATAGCAAACTAAGCTAGGTGGGGACTGACATAGGAAGTCGGCAGAAGGGAAAAGCAGAGGAATCAGAGCTTCAGGGACAGGAGATGCACTCTGCACAAAGCTGGAGAGAACAGTGGCAGTTAGGAGCACCAGAAAGACACTGCTGGGATGAAAAGGTCAAAGGGCACTTCCTGGGGACAGTGTGATGTGGCCTGGTGGTGGAGTTGAGGGAGGTGAAGTTGAGGAGGTGGAGTGAGGGAGGTGGAGTTGAGGAGGTGGAGTTGAGGAGGTGGAGTTAG